CATTTGCATTCACATCTGTCTGCCTCCCATCATATCTTTCTCCCATGAATGCATGGTGTGAGCGTGTGCAAGAATTTGTGTTTCGGTGTTGCTTGAATGATGAAAGTGTGTGTGAATTTTATTTTGTCCGAGCAGATACCTGGAATGACTTTTTTGCTCAAGAGCTTGGGAACTTTCGTCTTGTCCTCCTCATCCTCTCCCACCTGGTTTCTAGCAACTTTGATTCACTTGTGTGGTTTTTGTTGAACTATAGTGATTGAGCTAAGTTCCAGATCCGACATACCTCCTAGTGCGCCGAAATTCAAAAGTCAAGCTATACTTCACCTTTTGATACAACTCAAAATGAGAATTGTGGCCACAATCAAGAAGTACAACAAATCTGAAAATGGTGAAGTTTTGACGGTGAACATTTCGTCGACGGCGTTTCTTGTGAACTCAAGAATTCTGTCTAGAAACTTAGTCAACGATTTTGAGATATTTTGGCCTCTTATCTACATAGACTCCGTCCATTAATACTTACAACTGGTATCATAGCAGATTGAAGACTTTGTGGATAGTTGATTGAGGTGTGAAGAACCTTCTGTACCCACCATGGCCTGTAGGTGTGAAAATTGGACTTCTAAAGGTTGGATGTGATTTCCGCTAAGGGGAAATTTTGCCAAAATTTCGTTGGCACCGACGGCACTTGTGAAAATATCGAGAGACTTCAGTGTGGACAGTAAGGGGGGAGCTGAAAATGTGATTGTGTGAAGATATGATGAATCAGGGGAGTGGAGATGCAGGTGAGAAAAGGAATGGGCCGCCGCCATCCAAAATTGAGGCGTTGGATGGCTTCAACTATGAGGATTGGAGCAGGAGGATGAGGAGTGCTTTCAAGCGCTACAAGCTGCTAAAAATTGCGATGGTGGAAGACAAGATGCTGGAGGAAGGACATGTCTGCGATTGGTGGATTGAGAAGAGCGTGGTGCTGTATGCCCTGATCCTTCAATCCGTCAACAACGACATTTTCCAGCATATCAAGGACTTGGTGGAGCTGGATGACTTCGGACCGAAGGCGTGGAAGGTACTACGTGACATTACTCAGCCCAACACGCTGCCAATGGTGATTGTGTTGGAGAACGAATTGGCTGCCCTCTCCATGTGGCCCGGGGACGATGTGAAGCCGGTCCTTGACTAGACCAAGGGCACTTATGCGAGGATGGCAGCGGCGGGTAGCAAGGTGTCGCAGATGCAGCAGCGCACCAAGATCATCTCTATATTAGACAACTTATGGCACAACCTGATTCCTACCCTTACCTCTCAGTAGGACCAGTGGACTCTAGAGTGGCTACAACAACAGATTCTGCTAAAAGACTTTCGCAGGCACCACATGGGAGGTGGTGCTGCCAACAAGAGTGTTGAGGGGTATGCAGCTGCAGGAGGCAGCAGAGGAAGAGAGGGTGGGAGAGGCCGAGGCCGTGGGAGAGGCTTTGGCAGAGGGAGAGGCCGAGGTGACTACAATGAGGGACATGCAAGCTCTGGTGGCAGGGGGAGCACCCGAATGGAGGGTGCATGCTGGTATTGCAAGAAGGCTGGACACCCAAGGTTGAAGTGTTTCAGCTGGCCTGAGGGATGGGCGCCCCCAGGCATGAAGCCGCCAAGTGGTGAACGCGCACGAGGTGGCGCTGTGCCAGGTTCAAGTGCACAAAGTGAAGGTGCACATGGTAATGCCTCCCCTGGGATGTTCCTCATGGTTGAGGATGTGCAAGGGAGTGGGGGTGATGTGGGTTCATTGGGAAGGTTGTAATGCACCCCCTCACTCACTGGGTGATAGATTCAGTTTGCACAAGTCACATGATCCCACAGGCAGATTTGCTTGACGAGGTAAAATCCCCTGGGAAGATCAAGTTTGTAGCTGTTGCTTCAGGTGCTTTGCTCCCTCTGATTGGTGTTGGTAATGCCAAGGTGATAGGAGCCAATGGGGAGCTTGTGGGGCTGGGGAATGTGCTGCTGGTTGAGGGTTTATCTGCCAACCTCCTTTCTTTGCGAAGGTTGTAAAAGATCAAGGCTGAAGTGACCTTTGGCCCAACCAGCTGACCTGCGAAGCTTGGGAAGTTGCTGGAGTGGAACCTAGAGGAGAAGAGAAGCTGCATCAAGGACCTCTAGCAACTGCCAATCATCCCTTGGAATGGAAAACCCCCAGCAACGGCAGCGGGTAGCAGCAACAGCTAAGGCAACTTCAGGAGGAGCAAAGACTGCACCAATTGATGAGGCCCTGAATGCAGTCAAGAAGGTGCAGCAGCCACAGCAACCACATGGTGAGGTGCTTGCTGGTGTGGATGGGACAACTACTTTGGCAAAGGCTTCATCTGGGAGTGGTGAGGCCGATTCGGGGATATGGAATGAGAGGCTATGCCATGTGAACTTTCCTATGCTGCAGAAGTTGGTAAAAAATGGGAGCTTGAAGGGGTTGGAGGTGAAAGGGGCAGAAAGGGAGATTGGGAGCTGTCTTACATGCCTTGCGACTAAGTTCACAAAGTTTCCCTATATCAACAGCGCAAGGCCAGCCAAGGCCCCACTTGCGCTTGTGCACATGGATGTGGTGGGCCCTATGAGGTCCCCTTCTCTCAGGAAGCCGCTACTTCTTGACCATCGTGGATGACCATATGCGTGCGGTGTGGGTGTACCCTTTAAAGACTAATGAGGAGGTGGCAACGACTATTTTGAAGAAGTGGATGCCGAGAGCTCAAAGGGAGAGCAAAAACAAGGTGAAGGTGATCCGCACCGACAATCGAGGAGAGTTCATTGGCGCTGATTCTAAGGGGGAGCTGAAGTGAAAGGGGATCTAGCATTAGCTCACAGTGCCATACAACCCTCACCAGAATGGCGTGGCTGAGCGGTTCAACCGGACCCTGCAAGAAGGTCCATGCAATCTCCTTGGACATGAAGGGCAACCGGATTTATTTTGGGTGACTGCACTGCGGCAGGTCGCCCTTGTGAAGAACGGGGTGCTGGCGACTGTGGGGGACAAGCAGTGAGTTCCCTACACCAAGTGGTATGGGAGTGCACCTATAACATGCTGAGAGCCTATGGTTGCATGGTGGTGTTCCATGTGCCTAAGGAGGAAAGGGGAAAGCTTGAAGTCTCTGGGAGATGGGGCATGCATTTAGGGATCTTTGAGGATCATAAGGGCTGGCTGCTATGGGACTTGACCAGCTAGCAGCTGAATGTGTCAAGGGATGTTAAGTTCCTTGAGTCCTTGTACTATAAGGAGTGGAAGCAGCAGCAGCAAAAGCTTCCAACTACACCACTCAATGTTGAGGCCGGTGAGGTACTGCGGCCGTCAAGGCAGGTGGATATCTTTGTGTCAAAGGAGGAGATCTCTGGGGTGACTGAGGATGGGCAAGAACCTGAGGTGGAGCAGAAGCAGTAGTAACACCAGCAGCAGCACCAGCGGCAGACGCAGCAGCAGCATAAGATGAGTGTTGGAAGTGAATGAAGCTTGCTGGAGGTTGCATATATGAGCTGAGGCATGTAGGATGATGGTTGGTAGCCAGAGGGGGAGTTTGTTCTGTGATGCTATCATTTGCATTCACATCTGTCTGGCTCCCATCATATCTTTCTACCATACATGCGTGGTGTGAGCGTGTGCAAGAATTTGTATTTTGGTGTTGCTTGAATAACGTGAGTGCGTGTGAATTTTCTTTTGTCTGAGCAGTTATTTGAAATGGCTTTTCTGCCCAAGAACTTTCCGACGAACCAAGGATCGCTTCAATTGGACCACGAAGGAGAAATTTACGAACGGTTGAAGTCTGTATGCTTTTTATAGTTGGTTGCGGCGACTCTGGAAATGTGGAGTGACTTCATATGGGGTATAGAATTTTGGAGGTTGGGAAAATTCATCACTCTACTGTAGATGATGCCAAGTGGTTGGGAGAAGCCAAACCGGGTTGGCAAGTGTGGCCAAGTTGAGGTGAGGTGGATTTGAAAGGTTGGGAAGATGACAAGAGTCAAAGGTGGATTACTATAAGGAGGGATTTTGTGAGCTTATGCGGTTTGGTTGGTTTGAGGCTCCCTTGGATCCTTCCCTCTCATCCACCTGGTTTCTAGCAACTCTAATTCTCTTGTGTGGTTTTTGTTGAACTATTTCTCTAGTGATTGAGTAAAGATTCAGCTCTAGCATACCCCTCGGTGCGCAGAGGGAGCATAAGTACAGTAATACTTCACCTTTTGATACGATTCAAATAGGGAATTGTAGCCACGGTCTAGGGCTACATCATATCCGGAATTGGTGAAGTTTTAACTGGCGAACCTTTTGTCGGCGGCGTTTCTTGTTGTGAACTCGACTTTTATGTTTAGAAACTTTAGTCAACGATTTTGACATATTTCGGCCCCAGTCTACATAGACCCTGTCTTTGATCCTAACACGCACGGCAATGGCGCTCTCCCTCGCCCTTCCTCATTTGTCTCATGAGGTCCTTGTAGTGATAATAGGCAAGGTACATGCAGCGCATGGAAGGGCCTACAAGTCTACACATGCAGAATAGGACAAGCATTCTAGTCACACAAGCAAAGAACATGCGGTCTTAGCACCCTATCGTGGTGCTGCTGCTGCCCATTCAGCTCACCTTGCGGCATTCCACAGCGAAGGCCAGGCACACGTGGAGGACACAGTATGGTGCGAAGAGAGCGACTTCGCTTTTTTTTTTTTCAGTGATCTGGTGATTAATTTCATTCGACGTTACCTTGAGCGCAAGTATGGCTCTTGAGATTTGGTTTCGGATTCCCAAAGGCTTGGTTCCCAAGGATCCGCCAACGACCATCACAGCAGTGACAGCTGATGTGGCGATAATCCATTGGTATCATCCCACGTGGACGTCTACGTCGCCACCTCTCCCGAGGAGTCTCTCCGATCGGTGTTCAACAGACTGTTCCGCTCGCACCTGCCCGATTGCTGTCTGCCATGCGATACATGCCAGGCGCCGCGAGGAACCGCGGAGCCTCTGAGTGAGGCAGTGCGCATGCATTATGGAGGCAACGATGGCGTGGAAGGCAGTGAGGAAAGTGATGAGTCGGCGGTGCGTGGGACGCAGGTGGTGCGGTTCATGGTGGTGGGGCAGGTGGTGTGTCTATCACCCGACTGCACCGTGCAGCATGCGCAGCTGAAGCCAGGCGTGACCATCAAGGTGCTTCCCGTGAAGGCAGTGCGTGGAGAGGGCAAGAGAACAAGCAAGGACGGAGGTCAAGATGGTGTGAGTGCTTCAGCTCCTCCGCCTGCTGCGGACGTGAGTCTGGCTTTTCTAACTTCTTCCGCCATCGCCCTACTTGCTGCTGCGGTTCCTGCTGTAGCTACCACTCCTCTTCCTCCTCCCGTTGCTCTCTCTGCTGCTACACCCGCTGCTGCTACACCCGCTGCTGCTGCACCCGCTGCTGCTGCACCCGCTGCTGCTGCACCTGTTATTACTGCACCTGCTGCTGTTGCACCTGCTGCTGCTACACGTGCCGCTGAGGGGACGAGGTGGCGCGGGATCGACTACAGCAATTGGGACCACATAGGCTCTAGCCGCGACGAGGGCGAGCAGGACGACGAGGAGCGTGCGCCGCGGCACAGAGACACACCAGGGAGCGGTGCTGGAAGAAAGTCAATGCCCTTGAATCATGCCGGGACCGGTGGACCAGGCCTGTCGGAACTGAAGGAGGCAATTTGGCGCGGTCATGAGGAGATGATGATGCGGTATGGGCCCCCGCAGCTGTCGATTGGAGCCCACAAGGCATCTGCAGCGAAAGCCAGGGGTTCAGCGAGAGTGGGCGGTGAGCAAGTAGCAGGGACGCGCCACCTGGTGTGTCGGGAGGACATGGTTCACTACTTGGAAGTGAGGGGCGGGTGATCTGAAGGAGTGCGACTGCTGCTTCGACCGCGCCCTCAGCTTGGGCGACGAGCGCGCTGTCACCATGTAGAGCCTCACGTTCCTCCGATCCCGCCTGCACAAGCAGCTGCCCGACGCCACCCCCTTGGCGCCGCGGCGCAGTAGAGTGAGCGAAAGCATGGTGAAGTTCTCGGCGCGCGTGCAGGCGTTCGGGGAGCGGGGCGAGGGGGCATCGCCTGGGACTCACTTCTCGTGCAGGTGTGCTCTGGCTCTGTTTGTATGTGTGGAATCCGTGCTGCTCGACTGGATGGCTGAGCCGCGTGTGGGTGTGCTCATGGACCTGAAATGCATCCGCTGCCGCTTGCCCGCCATTCTTACCACTTCACCTTGTGTTGGGGATTCCCCTGCTGCGTCTCTTTCTGTTGCATCTGCTGCTGTTGCCATCCCTTATGCTGCTGCAGCGTGGTCCCGCTGCTGGCGTTGCAGCAGCTGCTGGGCGGCCTACCGCCACGCTGTCATCTTTGTTGCCTTCCTCATGCTTGTGGCGAGGTGGCCATTGACACCATGTGGAAGGCTGACGTGGATATATACGACGCACTCTACCTGGCTCGAGCAAGCCAGCAGGGGATGGGCTGGCAGCAGGAGAATGACCGTGTTACTTCCGTGCTGGTGCTGGTGCTGGGGGTGAAGGAGCGTGCTGACCTGCAGGAAGGGTTTGGGTTCTTCGTGCAGCACGTGCTGTCAGGCGGGCTTGAGAAGGCGCATGCAGAGAGGGGGACGAGGGGAGGTGGGGAGCAGGCTGCTGAGAAAGCACGAGGGGAGGGAAAGGGAGGAAGCGGGAAGTGTTATAGTCTAGAATCCACTTAGGGGTCGCAAATGCCCATGAAACCACCTAAGCAGAATCTAATGACCTCGAACCGCCTCTGTTCAAAACGCCGTCACGATCAGCTCCAATAACATACAAAGCTCAAAAAAAGAAAGAAGTTAGCTTCAGGTGTCTTTCTTTCCAACGATATATGGCTTGCTTTCATCAGAAGTGTATGCGCTACGCAGTGAACGATAACGTAAGCTCGGCTGAAAACGTGTAGTTTCATTGATGCAAGGAAGAGGTGAGTACAACATTGCCTAGGGGACTCTTAAGGGGTTGGGACCATCCTGGGAATGTAGAGAAGGTTGAGTCCTAGGGGAGAAAGGCTAGAGAAGGATGGGAAACGTCCTAGCTGGGTTAGCAAAGCCAACCACACTTGGATGTTCAGAACTGTACCCAAGGCTACGAATAGTGAGTCAAGCCAACCATGAGTCAGCTTGTCTTCCCACTTGCACCCTTTTGCAAGCTGCTTCCAGGAAGACCACACTTCTCAAAAGGAGGGTGGTAGAGTCCCACTTGACCACCTGTACTTCTTGTCTCATTCTCTATCCTTGCACCATTGGCATGACAACAATGAAAGGGTGGCAAGGGAAATGCTGCCAACAGTGCACCATGACTACGGAACAGTAACTTTCGACAGTTGTCACGTGCTGATCCGATGCTGAGTTGTCTTGAAACTCAGTGACCACCTGCACAACACGGCAAAGGACTGCCACACCGATTTTCAGACCAATTAGAGTTTGGTAGATGAGTCAGCAGCCGAAATGGTGAACTCGGGTGTTACCAAAAATGAGTAACACACACTTCCGGGATGCCATAAGTCTTGAAACAAAAAATGTTGCCATGCCTTGTAAACTGCTAAAAAAAACTCTGAAGCTTTGAGGGTTTGAAGAACACATGTTGATGCACCTCCCCACACAATTCCAGAAACTGAGCAGGCTTGTAGGCTGAATGGGAGTGCGATGACCATGCCACTATAGTGCTTTGGCACAACAACAAGAAGGGTGTGGGAAGTGTGGGGCAGATGGGGCAGATGGGTCTGATTGGGCAGATGGGTCAGATGTTGCAGACGGGGCAGATGGGGCAGATGAGGCATGCAATGGAGGTGGTGAGGCAGCGGGTGGAGAGCGGCGAGTGCATGGGGCCGGAGGACTATGCGCGCATCATGGACGAGCTGGGCATGGACCTGGGCGACCTGCTGGGAGAGATGGTGGCAAGGAGAGCACGGATGGGCAATGGAGGAAGAACCTGAAGGGGCCTGTGTGAGAGAGGTATGTGGATGGCATGACTTGGATTCTAGAGCATTGTGGGGGGGAAGGGAGGGAGTTCCGGTGCAGCCATTGCGGTGAGAAGGGCAGCAGCAGCAGCAAAAGTAGCCATGGCCGCAGTAGGGCAGAAGGCAATAATATTCCCAGGGGCATGTATGTGAGTGACGTGGATGCGAGTGACTTGGCCGTGGCAGTGGCGTCAGTGTTCTGACGGGCAGAGCACCGCAAGCTGGGCGCCATGTTCTTCGGGGGGTCTACGTGTGCCAGCAGCACCCTGCAGGATGCAGCCATTGAGGCGGCCAAGGAGAAACTGAGGAAGCGAGGGCTGGCGACAGGGATGAAGGAGGGAGTGGCAGTATCTCGAGCCAGCACTTCTCCTGGCAGCAGCGCTTCTGTCGCCAGCAGTGCGCTGTGTGATGCTGGTAGCGGAGCATTGGATTGGGGCCGTGAGCCGGTCAACACAGACCCCACCGTTGGCCTCCTCACCTACCGGGTTGCCCGCATCTTGCAGTGGCTTTGGATCTATGGCTCAGATTTTATCTTAGCCAAGATGTGCTTCAAAGAAAACTCACAAGGTAAGGTCCTGCCCATGCGCCACCCGCTTCGGGAACTTCCAAGCCTGCTGCTCCGGCTCGACACTGTTCTCCCCCCTTTGGATGGAAGCAGCCCCCATGCAGAATGGGAGGAGTGGCGTGAGGGGGACGAAGCTGCTGTGATATTTCCCGACGACTCCAATGCCAGATGTTTTGGGCTGGGCAAGGTGGATGGCATGCAGGGTAGCAGGAACGGTGGGTGTGTGACAACTCAGTATGGAAGCGTCCAACAGTCTCCCACGAGACAAGTGTCGTCAGCGCGAAGCAAGGAGTGCCGTCCAATCATGCGTTGCAGGGCAGATGCGGACTTGCTGGTGGAGTTGGGCAGTTTGTTGTTAGAGGCACCCGCATGCGCCCACTGCAGCCGCTGCATCCGCACCTACATCTCATACGTCCCCTTCGTCACCTTCATCGCCAACTTCGCCTATCGCCCCGCCACTGTACTCCTCGACTGCTTTCTCTCCATCTTCCAGCCCCACTCGCAGCAGTTTGAAAACCTTCTCGCCTGCGTGGGCCTGGAAGATCCGCCTGACGGCCCTTGTGGCAAGCGGAGAAGTAGCAGCAGCAGCGTGCAGGTGCTACGGGAACAGGCAGAGCAGGTGCTAGTTGCCTTGCTGCTCAGCCTGGCGCTGCTCTGCGCCACGCGTCTCCTGCAGTAGAGGGGGGTGGAATTCGAGGGGTGGAGGGGGGAGCTGTGGGGCCAAAGAGAAAGTAGGGGGAAGGAAGGCAGGCAGTGGAGCCTGTGGGAAGGGCAAGGAGGGCGGGGAGGGTGAAGGGGATTGCGGGGTTGTGTTGGAGGAGGTGCAATTCTGGTCCATGGTGGCAACACTGCCCGTTGCTGGTGTCGGGGGTGGCGGGGTGGCGTGCAGTGGCGGCGGAGGAGCGTGGTGCGAGTGCACGCAAGGACGCAATGGCGGAGATCTATGAGCGCTCTCTGCTTCACGGGGATGGGATTCCCACTGCATGTGGCAGCAGCAGCAGCAGCATCCATAGCAATCAGGAGAGCAAGAAGGGGGAGGAGGCGGCCTATATGAGGGCATGGCCGTGGGGAGTGAATCTGGTGGCATGTCTGCGAGAGATGCTGCTGGGGGAGCCGTGTTACCGCCCTGCCTCCTGTGCTGCTCCAACCACCATTGCTGCTGCTTGTGGGGGGCATGTGTGCGCTGTTGTGGGGAGCAAGAAGATTGAGGGTGGTGGTGTGAAGCTGAAGAACTGTTTTGCATGTGGCAAGGTGGCGTATTGCAGCAGAGAGTGCCAAAAGGCGCACCGGCCCTCCCACAAGCTCACATGCTCCGGCAGGACCAGCACCAAGAAGAGTGGGACAACCAGTGGCAAGGCGGGTGACAAGATGAGTGGCACGGTGAGTGGCACAGTGAGAGAAACGGTGAGTGGCACGGTGAGAGGCACGGTGAGTGGCACGGTGAGAGGCACGGTGAGTGGCATTGTGAGTGGCATTGTTAGTGGCATTGTGAGTGGCAAGGTGAGTGGCAAGGTGAGTGGCACGGTGAGTGGCACGGTGAGAGGCACGGTGAGTGGCACGGTGAGTGGCATGGTAAGTGGCACGGTGAGAGGCACGGTGAGTGGCATTGTGAGTGGCATTGTTAGTGGAATTGTGAGTGGCACGGTCAGTGGCAGGATGGGGATGAAGGCGACAGAGAGAGTGGAAGAAAGGGTGGTGAGAGGGTGGTGAGGGAGTGGTGGGAGGGTGGTGAGAAGGTGGTGAGAGGGTAGGGATGTGATCCACGTGATTAGTGACGCCCCTTAAGGTGCTTGCCAAGTCTGCCAAGCTGAAGGGTACCATGGGTGAGATGCAACTGAAGGGTACCATGGATGCAATTGAAGGGTACTATGGGTGAGATGCAACTGAAGGGTACCATGGGTGAGATGCAGCTGAAGGGTACCATGGGTGAGATGCAACTAAAGGGTACCATGGGTGAGATGCAACTAGGGACGACATGTAGGGCTGCTGCGGCTTGGATCTTTGCTTAACGTCACTGTTGTTGTTCAGGCTCTGTTGTTAAATTGTTGTCACTGGTCCTGCATTTCCTGCGAGGGAATCAGCTGGTATGTCTGTGTCTTGGCAAGTCGTGGCACTGACTTGCGTGGCTGGCAACTGATAGAAATCGGCCCCTCTACCTTCTAGTGAGGCTTATAACGGCTGTCCATCTCTTCTCCGTCCATCTTTCCCATCCTTCCCAGTCGCCTGCATCGCCTCCTGTTCTTGTATCCCTCCCCTGCCCTAGCATGTTCACAATTTCACCTTTTCTCTATATGCGTACCCCTCACTTACTCACCCCCGCTCTTGCTCTGGACAGGTGTACTGCACTAATTGATTCGGTACTCATGCTGGGCCTTCACTCATTCATCTATTCATGCTGGGATGGGTGCCATGCCATTCCCATGGGCCATCACCATTAGTATCCACTGTCCTCTGCTGTGTCTAGCTGTCTACCCTTATTGGAGATGCAAAACGAGAGTCTAATATAGTAAGGTAGATCCAATTTGAAAATGTGTAGGAAAACGAGAACGATTGTGGGCCGATAAAACACTGTTCCAAACATCTTTCCGCTGACTGAAACTCAAGTGGCCCTCCAAAATAATTCAGGTCGGCCTTGCGGCTGCCTCCCCTCTCCCCTTGGTTGCCCTTCTTCTCACGGGCGGTCGCCCGTGCAATCTTCGCTCCGCTCCCATCGCTTCTGGGCTCTCGTTATCATACCAAATCAATCAGATGGTCTGCTGTTCAGACCTGTTGTTATGCTTTCATTAGATTTTCTAGACACTGCATTTTGTTTTGTCTGATCTATAAGATTAGTGATATAAGTTCGTCTGAACTTGAAGATCAAGTGTTATACTTACCGTATCGCCCCGAATAGTAGCGCCCTCCGAGGCGCCGGCACTTCTATCTGGAGCCATGCGCTTATGGTCGGCCCTCAAGTATAAGCGCACCCCTTAGAATCCCTGTACTTATTATAAGTGCATCTCTTCTCCCCAAAGGGTAATCTTTTCACTATTCTTTTACTATACATTATTTCGGCTACAACAGGAAATCTACACATGCCTCATCCAATATTCTCACTACACATCAAGAAGTTTTACATTCCTAGCTAGAATCTAATCCTCGTCTGACTCTGGCTCCTCGCAGTTGTTGCCAAAGGATCCATTGGCGATGATCTCGTCATCGACGTCGACCTCGTGTGTCAGCTGGCTCCACCTGTGCGCCATGGCGAGGCCGTCCTTACTGCCGTCAAGTGCGTTGCTGATGACATAGGTGAGGAAGGCCTTCTTGATAAGCTCAGGTGGCACGGCCCTCTAGGCCCGTGAGATCCACCTGAGCACCACCGCAGGGGGCGGCTTCTTGATGTTCCCTGCACCACATGTGAGAGAAAGGGAGATGTCGTTAAGACATACGGGGGGAATTCAAGCCGCTCTCAAACAATCAACGGTGGGTGTCTTACCCGCAGCCGTCAGCTGCTCCTGGCCCTGCTCTTCGAACCAGCTCTGGTACTGCTTGTAGATGGAGGCCTTGAAGGAATTGTAGATTGAGATATCGAGGGGCTGTACCTCCGCCGTACAGCCTGACGGGATCACCGTCGGCAAACTTCTTCTTCAAGGCGTCTGTAAGGTGCCCGCGGTAAGAATTCAGAATGACCATGGCGCTCCTCTCTTGCCTACCGAACTGGGGCCGGGTGAAGGGCATGATGCACTCGTCGAGCCAGCGCATGACGCCATTGGTGTCCATCGAGCCATTCGGGTGGACTGCCACGACCACATCTGCCATATCAAATGCAGTAAAAACATGGGTGCTAGTTACAAAACGTGATATATTTAACACATAGCAAGAGGGGCTATACTTTTATCTGGTTGGAAATCACCCTTCGGCACCGTCTTGCGCTTGAAGAAGACCCACGGCTTGAGCTTCTCCCCGTCGGCCGTGCACGCCAACATGACGGTCAGGCGTTCCTTCCGGTACCCCGCGCTCCTGATGGGCACCAAGCGAACACCCATCTGGTCTACAGTGGTGGTGGCAGGCATCTCCAGCCACAGCGGCGTCAGGTCGGCATTGATAATCCAGCGGGTGTACAGGCGGAAACGTTAAAATAGGTAGTATCTCGAAAGTCCGTCGCGCGACCAATACTCCACATTGTCATCGTAGTCGCCGCCCGGGGCACCCTCGGGAAACACATATGCGGTGGTGCCGGCCTTGGTGCCAGTGTCGGTGCCAGCCTCGGTGTCGGCTTGCTCGTCGTCAGCACCCGCCGCATATTCGTCCCACGCGCAATCTTGTGGCTGGCCCCATCGTGGTGCCGGGGCCGGAGCTTCAACGTACTTGGCAGGGGCCTTGTTGCTTTCTGGTTCCGACAGGTACTCGTCGAACGCCAACGGGAGCGGGAGCGTGAGCACGGGAGGATATGAAGGGCCTGCATATACGGGCGGATTCGGAGGAGCCGGAGGAGCTGGCGGTGCAGGAGGCACAGGAGGAGATGGCGGCGCAGGTGGCACGGGAGGCTGTGGTGGCTCAGGGGGCTCTGGTGGGACACAGCTATACCAGCCGTCCTCGGTAACTCGCCAGGCGGGCCTAGGCTTTTTCTTGAAAAGAAATTTCGTGCCGGTAAAGTCCGCCATGGCTTTCACGGCTCCTAACGTGCTGCGCTGGCAGGGCATATTTGTGCCCCTTCTGGAGGCATCGGATGAGATGCTCCTGTCTGGTAACGCATGACAACCTGGTTGGGCTGCACGGCAGGTTTCGAGTCAGCGTTGGCAGATGCAATGGTTCGGGACATGCTCTGTGCGGTGGGAAATCGAGTTGCTGCTGTTTTCGCTTGCTTTTCATGCACGACCCCACGTGATTGGTTCACATTCATGTTTGCCTATTGAGAGCTTCGATTGGTACCCATATAAGCAAACATCCATTTTTTCCCCTTTTTATACGCGCATTCGCGTATGCCCTACACTCAATTACAAGTGCTCCCTCTAAAAAAAAAAAACGATTTTATTATAAGCTCATATGCGCTACTATCCGGTGTGATACGAAAGTCTGGATTTTTAGATAGCGACATTTTTTCGTCTGACACCGCCCCCGCTCTTGTCCCCCTCCTCCCCTCCCCTCTAAAAGTCCCCACCAGGGCTGTCGCTTGGTGTCAGCCCTGCCCGTAAGAAACTGAGCTGGTTCAAAACAAGCCCTGAAACGTCCGGGAAGCAGCCCAACCTAGCCCTGAAGTTTCGAACTTATGTATTCTTATATAGCTGACTACTCTATCGAGCAGTGCACACAAGGATAGGGGAGCTGGGAAAAGTGTTGTTGGGTGGGTGGAGAGAGGGGACGTACACCGTCAAGGTGAACGAGGGGGAAGTCTGGTGGGGGGGGGGGAGGGGACATGTATGTCGGAAATGCACTAAAGGCCCAAAACCTGTCCTTTAGCAATCCGGCCTTAGGGAAAAACCAACCCTGAAAAACTCTAGGTTGCGTTGAAACCAGCCCTGAATTCTCAGGGAAAATGGACAAATGTTCGTGAATCGACAGGCCTGGTCCCCACCCCTCCCGCTCCAGCCCCGTGCTCCCCTACTAGCCCAAGGCCCTCGCTCGCTCCTCGAAGGCCTTGGTCTGGGGGAGAAGCGAGGGGGTGGGGGAGACGCGAAGGGATACGGAGAAGCCCCTACCCCCTTCTCTGTATCCCTCGCGTCTCCACCAGCCCAGTCCCGTTCCCCTCGGCCCCCACCCCCAATCCCCCTGGTCCTTCGCACTACAGTCCCTCTCGCCGCCCTTGCTACACGCCCTTGCCCAAGCTTGCGACCTGTCAGTGCCGCACCAGCGGCGTCTTCCTACTGGTTAAGAAAAAACACCGGTATGAGGCTATGCTCGACTAGTATTTCATATAGCTAAATCAAACCATGCATAATGAATAATATGAAATTTCATACGTAACTCCAATTTTCGTATGAAAATCCAGACAAAAAAGTCTGCTCGTTTGAACGTCAGACGAAACGTCTTTTTTTTCTCTTTTTTTTTGTATTTCAGAAGGCCTTAATCCTAGCAAGGGCCCTGCTTCCGCTGTCCCCACACTCCTCATCGCCATCATTGTCTCTCGTCCCCTCCTTATCTCTCGATCGCCCCTCCCGCCATAAAATGCGCCGCCAGCACAGTCTTTTGTCCTATGGACCTCCACTGTTGGATTAGAGTTGAATAATTTTTAAAATCCTGAAGTTCGATAGTGATTACTATAGTAATATCGTAGTAGTACCACATATGATAATTACTATAGCATGAGTCCCGTCGCTAGTGTTACATTAGCTGTAATTACCTGGACATATCGCCCGCCGAAATTGTACGCACCCTGGGTGTTATAGGCAACATCGTTCTATAACACCCCACTTTCTTAAAAAAAAACTTATTACAGCTATTAACGAATAGATGCAATCAAGGGAGAATATCACGGAAATCACTTCCTTGATGAAATTACATAGTAATTTTGAAAGAATCTGCCGGGATCGCATCCCTCTCACTTTTTCGTTGTTGCCACACTGGTAGATTGTTCGCTAACAAGTGGCCAAAGAGGTGCCACCTGGCAATTCCAAGGAGAATTTCGTCCAATTACGCCAACTTTGAAAACACCCAACATGTCCATTTATTGAAATCCTTATACTAAAAAATGTTGGATATTACGCGTGCGTTTACGTACGTTTTACGTTTATGTTAACGTATGTTTTACGTTACGTTCCACGTTCAGTTTTGA